TCCAGGCCTCCGTTGGCCTTCTGCAATGCTTCGTCCCAAATGCACATTTTCTTCTTTTTCACCAGTCCCTTCTCCTGTTTTCTCTTGGCCCTGTACTTTTCCCAACTCTCCTCAAACGCCTCACTCAGGAACTGCTTGAAGACTTCTCTGCGTTCCCCTATTTCTTCTTTCAGCTCGTTATCCAACCACTTAACCGATACCCCACATCGTACCACCGTCGTTCTCACTACTCTCTCTGCCGTTGCGTTCACTATGGACTCCCACCCTTCAATCACCCTGTCCCCTGCTGCCTGTCCGTCTTCGACGCTTCGAGAGGGGGATGCTGAAAACACCAAGCTACTTCGCAAACCCTTGCACACGGACGTACCGTGAAATACACCTCGCACACGCGTAATTGACAGGGACAAGTGGCAAAGGCACACGCTGTTCGAAAGTGGGTAAAACGTGTCAGGAAAACGCACAGTTCGGCGGAGAAGGCAAAACAAAGGTGGTATTCCCATCGTAAGGAATGGGCGAGTTTCAGAACTCGTGGGCTCCAAATGTTTCGTTCTGTAAGTAAACATGGAACACATTCTTCAGAGTAGGAAAGAGGGAAGTAGGACAACGCATGAAGAGCTTAGGGGCAAACGTATCCGCTGAGGAGGGCAAACTCAACATGTTTTCCGGATCTACCCACTTCAAGCGGGCTCGCATGGCAAGTGGAACAACTGAAATGGTCTCGCGTACCTCGCAAGTGCATTCGCAGCAGTCGCCGCCATCGTACGCTGGGGAACACAAGGATTGTGAAACAGAGAGGGGGAATTACGAGGCGAAGCAGACAAGGGGGAGGGGTCGCTGTTGGCTGCTTAAGCCTGATCCCTGCGGAAAAGTTTGTTTACATGCAGCAAGTCTTGCATGCCAGTACAAAACCGTAATTGGGCGAGCGGAAGTACTGAAATCGGCACCATCAACTGCAAACGAATGGACGCTCATAGAATCCCTTCCGCGTATTTGCTGCCAACATGCACAGACCAAAGAGAGAAGCAGAGAAACATAGACGACAGAACGACAGAGGTATTTTCTTGGCCAGTAGCGCTACTTGCATAGCTTGGTTTTCAGACAACCAACGCGGGAAGAAGACATGGGTCAGAGCGTCAACGCCACCCTGTGTTTTCCTTGCAAAGGCATTCGCTTGAGACAGCAACGCTTGCGACTTCTGTAAGTGTCGACCGAGCTACACTATTTAATTCACTGAAAACCCATCTGGACGCATCAAACAAGAAGGGATTCAGCCAGTTGGGCGATCAATGGTGCCGGACACGGTTGAGTGTCGCTGCTCATTTGCCTGCGACTTCGCCTGCTCCAGCACGATGATGAACGTTTTCAAGAAGCAGCAAAACACCGCCTTCCAATACTAAATAGAACCACGAGACTTACCACACAGCTCGTTGTTGTTGTCTTCGTCACACCAGCCATCCCCGATTCCCCAGTCACAGTTGTCGATCATATCCACGGTGAATGAATCGTCATCGACGCAGGGTGCTTCAGGGTCGATGCAGGCGAAGCCGCTCCACCTACCGCACTTGTTGTTTGGTGTGTCCTGACAGGCACATGCGTCGCAATACGTTAGCCGGAAAAACGCGCTAACACGTGAAAGAGATCGAGAAACATAACGGCAGGGACGGCGACGTCACCATCACGCCTCGCCGTACTACTGACACCACAAACCATAGCACCGGGATGGAGTATCGGACGGGGTTTGTCGACATGGAAGGCATAGTACCATTGGGCGAAACGCCGCGAGGTGTTCGGCAGGCAGCACGAAGGGAACGTGGTATGCATCCCAGCAACGGACCACGAGGCGGTGTTACTCCGTGTTCCATTCCTTGCACTGACATACAGCTTGATTGCTTGAAAACATAAAAAACATACAGCTTGATTGCTTTGCGTTCGCCTTGTCTTGTCTTTGAAAAATCGGCCTTGGCCCTGTCAACTGTGACATCCTAAGTCACCTACGGTATCTACCTTGCTTCCTGGGTGCCCGACTACACAGCATTTGATGCGATCGTCCTACTTCAACTGAGTGAGGTTGGATTGGTTATTCTCTGCGTCGCATGTATACCCTGGTCCAGGTGGAAAACCAGGTACACATCCACGACGGAGTTGTCGCGGGGTAAGGTTTAGCGAGACCAGGGACCCGCGGCCTTGGCAGTTTTTCTCAATGTAAGGCCGAAGAAAAGCCGCCGATGCCGACAGGAAGAACCACTCGCACCGAAGCAAGTGAGAAAGCCCAACAGAAAACATGACTCAAGAGTGTAACAGGGATCTTGAAACGAGAAGGCGTGGAGATGGCCCACGGGAAACGCTGACGCCAGCAAGTCTATCATGCTTTTTACAGCGTTTCGCGTAGAATAGGCAAGGAGAAGAAATGATTCGCATACCTCGCAGGTACACTCGCAGCAGTCGCCGCCATCGTAAGCTGAGGATAATTCGGGGTGGGGGGCGCATACGAAATAAGAACGGCGGAAGAGGATCATTCAGTGCACACCACATAACACCACAAGATGCCATATCACGCCCACTCTGTCATTGGACAGCAGAGCAAGTGTTTCACGTGCGGTAACGCCCGCGTGTCACAGTCGAATTCGGGCTTCCATTTTCTCTTGACATTCCACCATTCTGTTTCCGCCATTTGGTTCCGCCTGGGTGGCAAACGGATACAGCGCTTGCACCTTTCATGCCCTACTGGCAATACCATCTACCGTGCACGAGAGCCATGAGCACGCACCGCAGGCTTCGATGTTGTTGCTTATGTCGCAGTAGCCGTCGCCCATATTGACAGCGTCGCAGCTCTCGTCGACATCGACAGTGATGTCGTCGTCGTTAACGCAAGGCGCGTTGGGGTCGATGCAGGCGAAGCCGGAGCCGCAGGGGCCGTACCAGTCGTCATCCCAGTCCCAGTCATCGTCCGCAGGTGGAGCCTGACGGGCGTGTACCCAAAGCAACGCATCGGACACAAGGGTTGGTGCGGGAGAATACCATAGCTAATTATTACGACAACGTAGAGCCGAGAAGGAAGATACATGCCGAAAGAATGCCGCTCGATATGCTATGGTGGACCTATTGCGGATTCCAAGGGCTTACCAGAAATATCGCGGTGAAGACAACAAATACTCTTGGAAATCCAGAGGTGAGGTAATCGGGGCAGCCGACGAAAAGGTGGGGGCAACGACACATGCGTTTTCTACCAAGGACACAAAAAGGTGCCATATTTTGGGGGTATGCGTAGTTAGAAGGTTGCTCACCTCGCATGTGCACTCGCAGCAGTCACCGCCATCGTAGCCTGCCGAATCAGGGTAGCACGGGCGAAAGGAGGGGCATGAAAAACTTACAGGAGAGTGGTTACGCCAAGAGGTTTGGTCGGATGACACCGATTGAGCCCTTGACCCCGAACTATCTAACATGCCGACATGTGGACGAAAAGACACCTCGGCTTCCGCACAGGTGCTCCACAGCCCAACGCAATCTCACCGCACAGTTCGTTGTTGTTGTCCTCGTCACACCATCCATCGCCCACACCTCTCACCCACCTGCGGTCAGTGGCATCAAGCGCGTCATTCGTGAAAGCGGCAAAAATGAAGTTGAGGTTTGTTCCAGTACTGGAACGTAGCAACGAGCCGCAATACCCCTTGTTTGTCCGGATCCCAAGTAACCACGGCAAATAAACGGCTGGACACGCGCCTGGACCGGGGAATCCGAAACTCACTCCGCGCGGGATACATCTGAACACGTCATCATCATGGCGACCTTGGGTTTGAGGGCTCAGCAAGGCCGAACAAAAAAAAAACACAATACACACACAAACGCATGTTTTCAACCGCACCGAGACTGACGTCTTTCATTGGTCAGCCGGTTGGCGCGGTCGATGCTGAAAACAATGACACACACACACACACACACATGTGGGAAACTTCGCAATCATATTGGCGGCATGTCGCTGTCACGGCACGTACACCCATGCCATGCCGAACAACATATCGGTAGAGAAAAGCCATTCCCCGAAAAACAGGTGTGTTCGTACAGATTTCCGAATCTACCGTGTCGGCGACAACATGTGGCAAAGCAGCAAACCTAGTGGAAGCATCGCACCGTTGGTTGTGCTGCTCGATGGACGTCTATACACAGCACCACATTGGAGACGCTCCTCAACGGCACCAAGGAGAACATTAGACTCAATCGCGGTAGTTGCAGCATTGACATACCCGCACTCCTCCACCATGACGGCGGTGATGTCGTCGTCGTCAACACAGGGGGCGTCAGGGTCGATACAGGCGTTGTAATTTCGGCAAGCCCAGTCGTCGTCGTCGTCCCATGGGCTCTGGCACATGAGTGAGCAGATACAGACAAAAGACTTGTTCAGGGTTGAAGAAGGCGGACTGGAGGGGAGGTCAGGGGCCAAGGCTAACATAGGCAGGACTCGTCCTAGCAATAGCAGCAGGAACTTGTGTTTTCAAAGAGTTCGCGAGGACCGGGGAGAAGGGTAGGGGGGCGTACTCATGTTTCGCATGCCTTGATTGCAATTTTTCCTTTTTGTCTTCACTTCAAATCAGCGCTCACGGCACCAGTGCCGTTTACTCCAACCCGTGGTCACACAGAAGAGCCCCTCTCTACCCTTCCTCCTGCGGTACTTTGCCTTCGATCTTTAATGCGAGAAGAGTTCAGCACTCTCTTCCCACAGAGTACACACAAACTAGCGCCATCCACTCGGCCAGGAGCGGGAGCGAGAGAAAAACTCTCTTTGCAAGAAAAGCTCGCTTACGCCGGGATTCGAACCCCTGACCTGACCTCTAGAAGGTTTCGAGGTTACCAACTAGACCACCGGCAATGTAGCCCGTTGAATACGCGCGTCCTCGAGAGGATGGAGCATTGTTCTCACGAATCATCAGCGAGAACGTTCGGGGGCGGAGGGGTTACAGACGTACTTTTCTCGGAAACCGACGCCAGTAAGTACAGAACATATACAAGCGCTACGACAAAGTTGCAAGCTTCATCTTGATAGGTGGCAACTATAGTATCGGCTTTCTTTCTGCAGACCCTACTGCTACGGAAAAGTGTGTCCCTTTTATGTGCATCACCTGACACGTGCGAAGGCAGAACTGCAAACGTCTATCGCGTATAGACTAAGGGATTCTTCAGAATTGAGATGGGGTATTCGGAGCTGAGAATTGCGTGTATCTATCAAGGCCACAAAGGGTCCAAACCGTACATTCTTCGGACCTCCCACGTGCTTTTCGATGAACTCACCACACACGTGCACTCGCAGCAGTCGCCGCCGTCGTAACCTGAGGCAAGGAGGCACGCCAACGATCAAGCAGGGATGAGGACATTGTTTGATGTACACATGTACGGCGAAGAAATCGGAAATGACCCGTATGCATAGGTGTGTGACTTCCTTTGGTCCAAGACCCGCAACCCATCAGAGTGAAGAAAGTCTCACAGGTTTGCTAGACGTCCGGTTGACGGTGTGAGACCAACCAGAAACTAAAAATCCGCTGACGGGATTTCCAACATGCAGTGAACACACAACGCGCGTGGGGTGAGTGATGCCGCCGTTCAAAGGTGAAGGAAGTGGGGGAAATGAGGGCGCCTCTGTGCACGAGGGGGCGCTGGAGCAGCAAGAGGAGAGTGTAGGTGACGGAGCAAGAGCGAGAGAGATGGAGAAAGAGAAGTAAGAGACGGACACAAAGCAGGCCACCTCTGCGTTAAATACTGTCAGGCGGTTGTCTGACACGGGTGTGCGTAGGTCGATGGGCTTGCATACGTTCACGTGTGCAATACATTTACATCCCATGGCCACATGAAACACTTACCGCAAATCTCGTTGTTATTGTCCTGGTCACACCAGCCGTCCCCCAAGCCCCAAGTGTCGCAATTCTGCGCGATTTCGACGGTGATGTCGTCGTCGTCAACACAGGAGGCGTCCGGGTCGATGCAAGCAAACCCGGAGCCGTCTTTGGAGCAGACCCAGTCGTCGTCGTCGCCCCATGGGTTCTGTTTTGGTAAGTGCGCGGCAAAGAGAGGACAATTAAATTCTCACAACCAAGGGGATCTCGAAATGAAAGAGAGGCGTGGGAATGAGAGATGGAGAGAGGAAATTCAGGGAACCCGCCAAGGACACCTTCCGTGTGCATGCGTACCAAACAACGAGGAAAGAGGAGATATGTCTAGGAAAAATGGTGAGGGTGGAGGGGATTGTTCGGCCTGAGAGATGGGAGGGGAAACGCACTTCGATAGTAACTAAATTGACTGCCCCTGTAATGCCTACGGGTAGTTCGAGCGCTTTGGTGCTTAGGATGTGTACAACCGTGGCCACGAACAGAAAGAATATGATCCGAGGTCAGATTCAGATTGGTGGGATGATAGGGGTGTGGAGGAAGGGCGAGGGGAGACAATTCTACCGAGGATGGAGAAGCAGCCTTTTTTAGGAGAATACATTCACGATTCACAAACTTCAAACCTCTTACCACGCATGTGCACTCGCAGCAGTCACCGCCGTCGTAGCCTGGGAGACATGGGCAAACAACGACAGAATGGGGGAGAGGGCAGACGATAAATACCATGGTCACACCTGACCTTGCCGTTGGGATGAGTTCGAGCAGGCTTGTATGCTATCCAAGATCTAGCCAACTTTGCAAGAGGAAGGGCATGACTTCATGTCTGGTGTTGAGCCACAAATGCCCACCGACCGCTTTATGAAAAAGCGGTCAACGTGAAAGGTAGGAAAATGGCGGCATGGACAGGGCAGGTACGGCGAGAGGGATTGCCAAGTGCAAAGAGATATTCGCCATGCTACTTCCAACCTCAATTCGAACCCATTCCTCCCCCTGACGCCCGACTCACGCGAAATCGCTGATGTTCTTCGCCCCTATCCTTTCCCGCTACAGCCTAAAAAGTGCGTGCTCCATATTCGAATTTCGTGCAACCCTCAGAGGTTGCTTTGGAGGGAACGATGGGCAATCTAGTGGGGTCTAGTTCTCGTGTTGGTTTGGGGATGCCCTACAGCCGTCATCGCACCCGTGGCAGTTTCGTGGGAGATTGAGATTCGCCGGGATAGCAAGAGGAGAGGCAAATTGGTGGATGAATTGCGGACAGAAGATAGG